CACATCCAATAAGCACCCTTAGGCGTTCTAGGGGCAAAAATTACACATCTAATTTCTTGACTGTCTATCACAGTTTTGGAGGTCCTGGAGCACCAGGACAATTGAATTACCCACAAAATGACCCCATTTTCGAAAGAAAACACCTCAAGGTATGTTTTAAGAGGCATGGGGAGTCCTCTGAAGACTTCATTTTTTGCCACATGTTTTTGGAAAATGTGAAAAGAAAATGAAAATGTATTTTTTTTTACGCAAAGTTGTCAATCTATGAGATATTTCTATTACACAGCATAGGCATACTTAAAATGATACCTCAAAACGCATTCTTTAACTCCTGCTGAATATGGCGATACCAAATGTGTGAGACTTTTTCACAGTCTGGCCACATAGAGGGGTTCCACATCCAATAAGCACCTGTTAGCGTTCTAAGGGCAAAAATTACACATCTAATTTCTTGACTACCTATTGCCGTTTTGGAGGTCCTGGAGCATCAGGGCAATGGAATTATCCACAAAATGACCCCATTTTGGAAAGCAAACACCCCAAGGTATGTTTTAAGTTCTCCGTCACTCTCATCTGTCATACTCAGAATTTGAAATGCCTCCTCGCTTGTATATGATCTTTTGGCCATATTTTTGACACTGATCAGGACCCACTGGTATGGCAGTAATCAGGATGGTGTTGCAGTGAGGGACAGATATCTGGCTGCAGTTGGTTCACACTAGTCACTGTTGGGCAAAAATCAGAGATACAGTGAGGTGGCTGGCAATGTTTTTTGTGAGTGTGTGTAAACTCTGTGCAAAGGCTGAAAATTACTCACAGTTAGCTGTACTGGATCTCTCTCCTCACAGACGATGGCAGTGAACAGGATCCACTGGTGTGGCAGAGATCAGGGACACTTTATGAACAGGCACACTGTAAGGTGATCAGGGACACTGATTGGGCCACTGTATGGTGATCAGGGACACTGCTGGGCCACTGCGGTGATCAGGGACACTGCTGGGCCACTTGTGTGGCGATCAGGGACACTGTGGCAATCAGGGACACTGTGGCAATCAGGGACACTGCTGGACCACTTGTGCGGTGACCATGGACACTGCTGGGCCACTGCGATGATCAGGACACTGCTGGGCCACTTGTGTGGCGATCAGAAACACTGCTGGGCAACTGCGGTGATCAGGGACACTGCGGTGATCAGGGGCACTGCTGGACCACTTGTCCGGCGATCAGGGACACTGCTGGCCACTTGTGTGGTGATCAGGGACACTACTGGGCCACTTGTGTGGTGATCTGGGCCACTGCGGCAATCAGGGACACTGCGGTGATCAGGGACACTGCTGGACCACTTGTGCAGCAATCGGGGACACTGCGGTGATCAGGGACACTGCTGGGACACTGCGGCGATCAGGGACACTGCTGGACCACTTCTGCGGCGATCAGGGACACTGCTGCTGAGGGGCCACTGCGATGATCAGGACACTTTCCTGGGCCACTTGTGTGGCAATCAGAAACACTGCTGGACTACTGCGGTGATCAGGGACACTTCGGTGATCAGGGGCACTGCTGGACCACTTATCCGGCGATCAGGGCCACTGCTGGGCCACTTGTGTGGTGATCAGGAACACTGCAGGGCCAATGTGGGGATCAGGGACACTGCTGGGCCAATTGTGTGGTGATCAGGAACACTGCTGGGCCAATGCGGTGATCAGGGACACTGCTGGGCCACTTGTGTGGTGATCAGGAACACTGCTGGGCCAATGCGGTGATCAGGGACACTGCTGGGCCACTTGTGTGGTGGTCAGGGACACTGCTGGGCCGCTGCGGCAATCAGGGCCACTGCGGCGATCAGGGACACTGCTGGACCACTTGTGCGGCAATCAGGGACACTGCTGGGCCACTGCGGTGATCAGGGACACTGCTGGACCACTTGTGCGGCAATCGGGGACAATGCTGGGTTACTTGTGCGGCGATCAGGGACACTGCTGGGCCACTTGTGTGGCGATCAGGGACACTGCTGGGCCACTGCGGCAATCAGGGACACTGCGGCAATCAGGGACACTGCTGGACCACTTGTGCGGCAATCAGGGACACTGTGGCGATCAGGACACTGCTGGACCACTTGTGCGGCAATCAGGGACACTGCGGTGATCAGGGACACTGCTGGGCCACTGCGGCGATCAGGGACACTGCTGGACCACTTGTGCGGCAATCAGGGACACTGCGGTGATCAGGGACACTGCTGGACCACTTGTGCGGCAATCAGGGCCACCGCGGCGATCAGGGACACTGCTGGGCCACCGCGGCGATCAGGGACACTGCTGGGCCACTGCGGTGATCAGGGACACTGCTGGGCCACTGCGGCGATCAGGGACACTGCTGGACCACTTGTGCGGCAATCAGGGACACTGCGGTGATCAGGGACACTGCTGGGCCACTGCGGCAATCAGGGACACTTCTGGGCCACTTGTGTGGCAATCAGGGACACTGCTTGGCCACTGCGGCGATACTGCTGGGCCACTTGTGTGACGATCAGGGACACTGCTTGGCCACTGCGGCGATCAGGGACACTGTGACAATCAGGGACACTGTGGCGATCAGGAACACTGCTGGGCCACTATGTGGTGATCAGGGACACTGACAATCAGGGACACTGCTGGGCCACTTGTTGGGTGATCAGGGCCACTTGTGGGCAATCAGGGCCACTTGTGGGCGATCAGGGCCACTTGGGACAATCAGGGCCATGGGGCAATCAGGGCCACTTGGGGCAATCTTGGGCCACTTGTGGGGGCAATCAGGGCCACTTATTGGGGTAATCAGGGACACGTGGGGCAATCAGGGCCACTTTAGGGGCGATCAGGGCCACTTTAGGGGCAATCAGGTGTCACTGAGGTGGAGGGCAGTTAGCTACAACCCTTTTCTTCGATGTTTCTCCTCTCACAGACAACTCCGTGAGAGGAGAAGGAGGCGGAGGCGGAAGCCGCACCATGCGGCTTTTGTTTACACTTAAGCTGTGTCCTTATTGGACACAGCTGATCACATGGTATGGGACCGATTTCATTGGTCCCATACCATGTCACGTAATCCACCGTGTCCGTCGGACTCGGCGATCATCGGGCTCGCGGGTGCGCGCTCTAGGAGCCGCGCACGAGCCTCAGATACAAGGTGCCGTTTAGAGACGGCAACCCGCTCCTGTAGGTGTCCCTACAGTGGTTAAAGGAAGACACTGGTGTAGTGTGGGGTAATCTAGTGTGAAGAGGGGTGCTAAGGAGAAGGTGACATCATCCAGTGCATGTGTCAGTGTCCTTCATCCCATTAATATAGCTTGGGATTGGGATGTCTCATGATTCTGAAAACTTTTAAAGGGTCCTGTGATGCAAAAAATTATGAGAAACGCTGGCCTAACCATCTAGGGATGTAGAGAAATAACGTTCCTATTCACACACACTACCCAGAAGTAATATCAGGCTTTATTTCCAATTCTTGACTTGTGGCACAAGTGAACAGAGAATACTGGTTCCACCGCATTGCAGACCATCAGTGACTCACACACAGCCAGTGCTGGCGGGGAGACCTTGATGGATAATAAAACAGAGCTAGCTGGAGAGGAATGTTTTGACAGTCACTCACTTTTTTTTACAGCACCCCCAGATCAGACAGGGTATATCCAACTCTGATTCCAAAAATTATAGGATGATTTTATTCTTACCTTTTTATATTATGGACATTCTGAAGGTGGTAAGAATGTAAACACTGGATATCAGAACATAAGACATAGGTAAAAGCCTTAGTTTAAATTTAGAAATGATAATGAAAAAAAAATTATACTATTGTAGTTTACCAATCGTTAGATGTGGGTCTGTGTTAATTTCTCTTTTTTTCCTTCCTGTCTTGGGTGTCTGCATTCTGAATGAATTAGTTTATATTTCTACAAATATTTTTAAAGCCAAAATAGCTTAAAAGAAGGGCAAACTCCCTACTAGGGTCCTAACAGGGTGCTTTCCCTTCACCTCCTGCCCTAGAGAATGTGGCATCAGTATACTTCAGTATAGTGTGTGTGTGTGTGTGTATACACAGTTGTGCTCAAAAGTTTACATACCCTGGCAGATCATGCCAAAACATGCTCTTTTATTGAAGGATGATGATTATATGAAGCCATTTATAATCAAATAGTTGTTTGGCTCCTTTTTAAATCATATTGATAACAGAAATCACCCAAATGGCCATGATCAAAATTTTACATACCCTGGAATGTTTGGCCTTGGTACAGACACACAAGGTGACACACACGGGTTAAAATGCCAATTAGAGGTTAATGTTCCACATCTGTGGCTTTTTAAATTGCAATTAGTGTCGGTGTATAAATAATATTGTAACCGTGCTTTTTTGTGGCATTAGTGCAGTAAAAGCTTCTTTCTGGCACCTCAACCAAACAGCTCACTTTTGTTCAAGTATCACCGTATTGTACTCCTGAAAACCACACCATCTTTTTCCAGAGCAGCTTGTCGTTCGTTCGGTTGCCTGTGGGTTTTTCTTTGAATCCCAGACAATTCTTCTGGCAGTTATGTCTGCAATCTTTCTTGGTCTACCTGACCTTGGCTTGGTATCAAAAAACTCCCAAACTTTCCACTTCTTAATAGGTGATTTAACAGTACTGATTGGCGTATTCAAGGCTTTGGACATCTTTATATGTCCTTTTCCATCTTTAGAAAGTTCCATTACCTTGTTACGCCGGACTTTTGACAGTTCTTTTCTGATCACCATGGCTCAGTATCTGTCAGGGATGCGGGTGTGACCAGAAGTGTGTGGACTGACACAGGGAAACGCAAGCTTCAGATATGGTATAAATAAGACAATTTATTAAGACTAACAATACAAACATAAACGCAGTGCACCAAACCCCAAGCTAACACAAATACATACAACAAGGTGAAACAAACCCAAACCTAAACTGATATAGATACACAGGTACATACACATATAGAGCACAACATAGTCAGGCAGGCCGGGTCGATAACTATCGGGCAGGTAGGTACAGGAGGAGCAGACGGAGAGTAGTCAGGTCACGAGCCGGGTACAGCAACTAACGGACAGGTAGGTACAGGGGGTCAGGCAGAGAATGGTCAGGGTCACAAGCCAGGGATCAAACAGGAGAAGTCAGGATCAGGCAGGGTCGGCAACAAGTCAGGCAGAAACAGGAACAGGAATGCAGGTTACATGATACAGGGGCCCATGGAAAAACACACACCAAGGCACAGACTGCAGGTCTGGCCATCCCTTAAATACACCACCTGCAATCAGCCCCAGGTGATGGCTAATTGCCGAAGTGAACCTCTGGTTGTTGAGAGCACCCGCTGGCCAGCCCTGGTACTGCAGCCCACAAGGCAGGTGAGTCCCACCACTATTGGCAAGTCCATTCCTGACAGTATCTAGCCTAGTCAGTGCTTCCACTTAAGAGTTAACAACCTCATTGACTATACACTGATACTAATTGCAATTTAAAAAGTCACAGATTTGGGACATTAACCTCTAATTGGCATTTTAACCCATGTGTGTCACCTTGTGTGTTTGTACCAAGGCTAAACATTCCAGGGTATGTAAACTTTTGATCATGGCCATTTGGGTGATTTCTGTTATCATTATGATTTAGAAAGGAGCCAAACAACTATTTGATAATAAATGGCTTAATATGATCATCATCCTTCAATAACAGAGCATTTTTGACATGATCAGTCATATTTTCAATATCAATGCCAAAATTTCACAATTTCTGCCATGGTATGTAAACCTTTGAGCACAACTATATATATATATATACACACACACACACACTATTATAAAAATATTAGAACACCCCTCCAAATAATTGGATTCAGGTGTTTCAATCACCTCCATGGCCTCAGGTGTATAAAATCAAGCACATAGGCATGCACACTGCTTCTACAAACAATTGTGAAAGAATGGGTCGCTCTCAGGAGCTCAGTGAATAGGTTGCCACCTGTGCAATAAGTCCATCGGTGAAACTTCTTTGCTTCTAAATATTCCATAGTCAACATGTGCCATGTTAGTGGCATTATAGCCTAGTGGAAGCAACTGAGAACAACAGCAGCTCAGTCACAAAGTGGTAGGCCACATAAAATGACAGAGCAGGGTCAGCACATGCTGAAGCGCACAGTGCACAGAAGTCGCCTACTGTCTGCAGAGTCAACAGCTAAAGACCTCCAAACTTCATGTGGCCTTCAGATTAGTACAACAGTGTGTAGAGAGCTTCATGGAATGGGTTTCCATGCTGAGCAGCTGTATCGAAGCCTTACATCACCAAGTGCAATGCAAAGCATGAGATGCAGTGGTGTAAAGCACCCCACCACTGGACTCTAGAGCAGTGGACATGTGTTCTCTGGAGTGACAAATCACGCTTCTCTGTCTGGAAATCCAATGGACTTGTCTGGGTTTGGCACTTGCCAGAGAATGGTACTTGCCTGATTGCATTGCATTGTGCCAAGTGTAAAGTTTTGTGGAGGGGGTTTATGGTGTGGGGTTGTTTTTCAGGGGTTGTGCTTGGCCCCTTAGTTCCAGTGAAGGGAGCTCTTTAGGCGTCAGCATACCAAGACATTTTGGACAATTTCATGCTCCCAACTTTGTTGGGAACAGTTTGGCGATGGCCCCTTCCTGTTCCAACATGACTGCGTACCAGTGCACAAAGCATGGTCAATAAAGACATGGATGAGTGAGTTTAGGCTGGATGAACTTGACCACATAGAACACCTTTTGAGATGAATTAGAGCGTAGACTGCGAGCCAGGATTTCTCGTCCGACATTATTGCTTGACCTCACAAATGCACTTCTGGAAGAATGGTCAAACATTCCCATAGACACACACCTAAACCTTGTTGACAGCCTTCCCAGAAGAGTTGAAGCTGTTATAGCTGCAAAGGGTGGGCCAACTCAATATTGAACCCTAAGGACTAGGACTGGGATGCCATTAAAGTTCATGTGTGTGTAAGGCAGGGGTCCCAATACGTTTGACAATATAGTGTGTGTGCATATATATATATATATATATATATATATATATATATATATATATATACCGGTATATATATCCCTTTTGGGAAGGGGAGCTATGAGAAATGCTCCTTACCAAACAGAATACTGCACTAAACCTGTAGGTACTTTAGAGAACCAGAACCTTCACTAAGTGGAAGAGTGGGTTTGATAATAAAGTTGGCAGTGCCTCCACCCAGAACAGGGTCTCTGTGAACACACCGGGGATAACCTTCCTAGGAATTTAACCTGTTATCTAATCAAAGTAATTGGGAGCAGGAACAACTGCAAGGAGGATACAACATTACCATAAGTATATACAGTCATGGTCACAAATATTGGCACCCCGGCATTTCTGTCAGATAATGCACCACTTCACCCAGATAATTTTTGCAATTACAAATGTAAACTTCTTGACAATGTTACGCACAGTGGACACAAGATCATTAAGATCTGTTAATTGACAGAGGTGAGTTAATTTACACATTACAGGAGCATCACAAACTTGAAATGCAATTATTTCTTACAATTGTGAGAGGGTGGCAATAATTTTGTCCAGTCCCATTTTGGGGTTTTGCGTGAAATGTATCAGATATGGCTTTTTGTTTCTGCACTTTTTTGTGTAATACCAATACAAACAAATGAAATAAACATAAGAATACCTAAACATTTTCAATTGAAAAAATTTTCTGGACGAAGTGGTGCATTATCTGACAGAAATGCAAAGGTGTCAATATTTTTGGCCATGACTGTAGATACATGCCAATATGGAAAGACCATGACATTTATATAATAAGAGTATTAATGTTACATACATAAACTGTACAAAAAGGTATTATCAGAAAGTCTCAACAGGAGTCCTGGTGGATTTGTGCACATATGCCCAGGAATATATAATTATTATTAAAGATACCTTTATATAAAATGTTGAAACAAAGTCCAGTGGCAGAGGCCCCTGAGGATGATCACGATGTAGCATCCATCTTGGTGTCAAAGTCTTTAAGACAGAATCAGTTATGATGGGGAGATCCTTCAACCATTGTCCAACCAGCCTGCAATATGGCTTCTCACCAGTAGAAACCGTGGTGTGTCACTGGAAATCAGAGTCAGCCATCTACTCTGCATCTTAATCCCTAGTAGTTTCTAATCTGCCTTGCAAATGGAAACTCTAAGTACCTATGGGCTATTGTATGCCTAATATGGTTCTAGTTTATACTGGTTATTGAGCCCTGGGTAAAACTAGCTAAAGAATTTCAGACCAGAAAGGACAGGGTTAACTAGAATAACACAGGCTTCATATGAATTATATTTCAGTAAACAGGTTCCCTTAATGTGCAAAGCTTGGGATATTTTTTTATAAACTAACCCTGCCTTAAACTTAAATCTTAAACTTTAAATCCACAACTTTATCCATGACCTGTCTGGTGTGTTCCTTGGCCTTCATGATGCTGTTTGTTCACTAATGTTCTCTAACAAACTTCTGAGGGCTTCACAGAACAGCTGTATTTATACTGATATTAAATTACACACAGGTGGATTCTATTTACTAATTAGGTGACGTCTGAAGGCAATTGGTTCCACTAGAGTAAAGGGGGCTGAATAAAATGCACACCACACTTTTCAGATATTTATTTGTAAAAAAACATTTTGAAAACCATTTATCATTTTTCTGTCACTTCACAATTATGTGCCACTTTGTGTTGGTCTATCACATAAAATCCCAATAAAATGCATCTACGTTTTTGGTTGTAACATGACGAAATGTGGAAAATCTCAAGGGGTATGAATACTTTTTCAACACACTGTATGTATTTCTACTGCAAAGGAGTTTGCTAATATATTTTCACCATTTAATAGAGCTTGGAGTGATGGACTCCGCCTTTAGCCTTAGAGATTTTGGGTGGGTTCATTGAGAGAGAGATATGAGAAGTAGCTATGTTTAGTTAACATTTCATTCATGCTTTACATATGGAATCCAAAATGAGTTTTTTAAAAAAAAAGTCAGAGCTGACAAAGAATATATTGCAAGAGTTGTTGACCTGTGAAGGCTTTTAAAGCACTGCCTGTTGATAATTATGAGAATCATACTTTGTTGCTATTTCAAGGGTGCAAATAATTTCAAATCTGGACATATTTGCTATTTACTGGACTCTGTCTCATGTTTTATAATTTGCAGAACATTTGGAGATTCCATTGTTTTTGTGTGCATTAAAACTAAAATAAGTGCAAACATTTCTAAAAATATAGATTTGTTAAAAAAAATTAGAACAGATATCATGTGAAATTGCAACTGCCATCATTTTATTTTACTGAGTCTCTGCTTTCAGAAAATAAATAATATTTTTGGGGTTTTAGGCATCCTTCAGGCCTACAAACTGCCTTTTAGCATATGTTCAAAAATGGAAAAAAATGGCTTCGGCATTGAAAGGAATTAACTTATGACAGCAAAAAATATTCAATATTTTCAAAAATATTTGCTACAAAATAAACACCAAAACAGCCGTGGCAATTCAGAGATGTAACAGGAAATGATGAGAAAACCTATCTTAAATAGTTGTCACTAGAACATTTGTCACAAAATGAGAGATTCGCCCTCACATTTTGCTCTCAGGAAAAATCTAAAATTTTATCATCTGGTTCGGTGGCAAGAGACCTCAGGACAAATATAGGGGTGAATCTTTCCAACAACACAGCTCACAAAAAAAATGTCTAAACCATACCCACTTTACCCCCCTCCCCCCCAAAAAAAAAAATTTCCTATCAAATACTTACTGTAATTTTCCTTTCTGCCTTCACTCCTACCCCATAGGACCCTGCTCCCATAAATTTTGAGGCTGAGCCAGAGACCGTGTTCTATAACTAGCCTACTTATGACACTGGGAGGGTACCCATGCTGCCAGGAAAAGAAAATTACTGGAAGTATATGAAAGGAAATTTTCAGTTTTCCTGACTGACTTATACGTTCGGGAACTAACTAGCCACAAAAACAAGGGGGGGGGGGGGGAAATGCTGAACAAAAAAATAATTTAATTGTAGGCATGGTGCCCAAGGTTGTAATGCTGCACAAATAAAATTTGTTGCTTTGTGTAACAAAAAAGGCAGGCTTGACCTATCACTTGGCTAATTAATACTTTTTGGCCAATTTTTAGGCTTTTTGCTAAGGCACTGCTGAAGAACCCAGAAGGCACCCTGGTTGAAAGAGGTTGATCTAGTGCCTGGTGCTTCTTAGGAGTTTCCTGTGGGACAGGGGTCCCTTGTTTACCGAGTGAACTGGTTTAGGGAAAGCCTGGTTTACCTGAGCTTATGCTTGGAACTATTCTGCCCATTCTGACAGAAGTTATGACTTGTGAGAGCTGGTTTGTCCTTCTCTAGTAAAGCTCCCCAGAGCCAATTTAGGTGAGT